ACATTCGCCCTATTTCAATGTGTTTTTTAGCTTTTTTATGGGGCAAAAATCCTACAACAAGATAGCTTGTGTACACCGTTGTCGGTAATCGAGCCCATGCTAACATTCACACACACATATGGGTCGTCTATATAGTAAGATGTCTGGATCACGATATACAATAACAATTAACACTTAAGTGTTATTATTTATTAATAACGTATTATTTCTAGATCAACTAAGATGCGTTTTTATTAATAACGTGTTATTTCTGGATCATGACATACAATAACCATCAAGAGAAACGTCTTCGCTTTTCTGTTCATACTTGTCAAGGTATTTTCGATGTACAAATCAACCGATAAAATATCAACTCTTAACCTATCTCACATTCGGATGACGATGAAGCAAATCAAATCTGGCAGCTGCTACGACTCTGAAACCATCGTATCGCACGCTCAGATCGCGGTGTAGCGGCTGAAAACTGATAGCTCCCACGACTTTAAACCTGCTTAAATCATGTGCAAAATAATTTTGCTAGCAGAATTGGTCCTGTGGAAACTTCCAAGGTGGTAATATAGGTGTAGCCATTAAAAACACCGTAATGTGTGCATTTCTCTGTCGCAGTCATTGAGAGAAGTAACATCCTCTACCATCTGAAACCACATAACAAAATTAGTACAGTTGTGGTTCCCTCTTCATAAACCATATATTTAAGCGAGTTGATATTTTATTGTAAAGCACAAAGCTATCTGTGCTCTACCCACCGCAGGTATCGAAACCTGATTTGACCACAAAAGTCCTCAGACTTAACGTTCAGTCTCTGGGTGAGGAGTGGGGACAGTGATTGGAATATTATAAAATCTACTTATAAAAATACAGGTGTCCACTAAATATAAAACTCAGGACCGAAAGGACACATTACAACTCGGAACACGTTTGTATCAAACAATAAAGCAAAATTCTAAAAATAGAAAGGAAAACAAAGCAGAAAAGATGAGAACGTGTGTTTTGAAATAGTTTTCGAATCAAACACGACTAGCATAATTATGTAAAATTTGAAGGGCCCGGAAAAACAGATCCGTTCGTATTTGAGGGAGATTAAAAATGTTAAAATAGAGATTCATGAAATACAAGATTCCGGCCTCACCATACTTTATATACTTAATACGATTGTTTGTTTTGAATTTCGCGCAAAGCTACCCGAGGGCTATCTGCGCTAGCTGTCCCTAATTTAGCAGTGTAAGACTAGAGGGAAGGCAGCTAATCATCACACCCACCGCCAACTCTTGGGCTACTCTTTTACCAACGAATAGTGGGATTGACCGTCACATTATAACGCCCCCACGGCTGAACCCGCGATCCTCAGATTGCGAGTCGAGCACCCTAATCACCTGGCCATGCCGACTTAATACGAAATAATTGGAACGAAGACCTACACGTCTTCTTATTCTTGAAGTTATTGAAGTTTAACGTGGACACAAGTTGATCTAATATGGTATTGTGTACGAATAAGGTGCATTGTCTCACAATAATTTATAGTTTAAAAGAAAACTTTTAACTTATTGAAGTTTAACGTGGACATAAGTTGATCTAATATGATATTGTGTACGAATAAGGTGCATTGTCTCACAATAATTTATAGTTTAAAAGAAAACTTTTAACTTACTGAAGTTGTAGCAGAAAACTTGTCTTTTACAGAATATAAAGATTTAATAAAAATGGAAAATTCTCAAGATTTTAGTAACTTACATTTTCTTAAGGACTTTTGTGGGAACACGTGTTGCCTTACGTTGTCGTGGTGGAAACACTCTATTAGGAGGATACTTTACATATTATACTTTATATATTATATATATATAATAACAAGAGCAATCGGAGGGATTGCATACCCTCGCCCCGCCGCTCCTTTTCGAGATTATATGTGTTTATATTGGATAACGTCAAATTTCACCTGAGAAAACTCACAAAATCCTTCTCAGGTCCAGAATGATCAACGATGATAAGGAATCTCAATCTTAATGTGCCCATGAATCTTGTGTAAAATTTTCTTGCACGTCGGTCTATTAGTTTTCGAGATAAGCGCGCGGAAAGACACACACACACATGACCCGATTGCAGTACCATTGCCCCTCGAGGGGGGCGTGATAATAATAATAAAGAAGCACAGATGATCACTAAAAAAAATTGTTACAGATATCGAAAATGACCCATTAGCTCAAACGCTTTCGAAGGGTGGACTTTTCTTCTTCCGAAGCAGATAGGAAATCATACGTTTCTGAAATTATCAGCTTACATAGTTATCTTGGATAGAGTTCATGTGTTTAACTCTTTTAAACACGTAATTTTTGTGCATTCTGCCGGAATTATTTTCATGATATCTTAATAATTATTACCACAACTTATAAAATTTCAATTTTCTTAATTTTGTTTTTCCCTTCAGCATCAGGGGTAACTACATGAAGCATCGTTAATTAAATAGCCTCAAAACCTCTCTCTGTTGAACATTCAGTGTCACCTGATGATGACAAAACCTTGTAGAAACGTTGTACATTTGTTGTTGCGTTAAACTTATATTAAAGTTTTTCTTCATTACCCATTCAAGCCGTCTCCAACCATTATTAGTCTCAAAGTGGGTTCGTCGTCATCGAATTCCAATGGGTAAATCGAGATTTTCGGCTGGACGCTTATAGCGTCCGCTCGAGTTAATTTCGAAAAGATATCATCTCGTAACTTTTGCTAATTTACTTTTCATGAATGAATCTAAAGCGTAGGCAAATGGACAAAGCGGTTGCTTGTATTTATGTTATTTCAATTTATATTATGCACATACATATTCCATAAGTTCCAGCTCTTCGTTTGGAATATTTTAATTCCAGGACAAAGTTTTAACATACTATAGTATAGGTATACTGCGTCCTTACAGCAAAAATTTTTAAATATTTGGTGTTTAAAAAACGTTTATATAAACAACTACTATAAAAATTAAGCAAACTTTACCGAAAATGAGAAAGCATTCAAGAGCAGTAAATATTCGAATGACGAAATAATTACATTTACCGACTAAAATAATTCCAATACATTTCAATATTGTTTTCAACTTCAAGTCAGATAACTGACTTTCACAGATTTCTCCTCACTGTGACTTGGCCTAATAATGAACATTTTACAAAAACGATGTAACATGTAAGATAAGAAGAATGGTTAACATTTTGGTTAATCTGTTCTTAAAATTAGTTAAATCATTGTTAAGTTACTAACGGCGACTTACCATTCTGAGGTTTATTATTTGGAAAGCAAATTCTGAATAAGCCTTCATCCCGATCAAAGTAACGTATATTCTCTTCGAATTCGTTCATTGCCTCTTCATTACCATCTAATTTCTGGCGAATAGAGGTTCTGTTAACCCTAATTTCGTACCAATTATCCGTACCGAAAGCTATGGCTAAACATGCCACAGCGACTAGTGCTGATATTGTGCCAATCGACAGACTAATAGCGGAACAGGCCATCTTGAGGAAGTACTTTTATCGTTTCTTTGAGTATATTAGTATAACCTTGGTTTTATTTCATAACCAAGAACTCGTTCACCAAGTTGTCACTGTATGTATTACGTATTTTTTTACGCAATTTGCAATCCAAACAGTAAAAAATAAATAAATAACCAACCCAAACTACCTCTCAAAGTCCCGCGTAACGTTCGTTTGACTATTGTCTTCAGGCCTCTTTTGAACTCTGCAAAGCGCTACCACACCTGCGTGAGTTGTGACGACACAGAGGTTTGAGTGGAGTAGATCGAAATCTGGTAAGGCCGTTCTTTTATGCCAAAAGTTATGCTGCTTGGAAGCTAGTTTATAGTAGACCTGGCAAACCTTAATTGTGGGTGCTTTTGTACCTGAACATGTGTTTACGCTGGATAAGGATATATTTCTCAGTCACGTGGTTCATCAAAAGAAGGTTTAGAAAAGCCCCAAGGTACAAAGATATTGACAACAGACTGAAAAAATAGAATAATAAGTACATCAGTGAACTGGTCCATTTAAGTTATTTTAGTTGAGAAAAGTATACTGTGCCCATTTCATAAAGTACGATAATAGTAATTTGTTTATCAGGAAAAAAAAATGGAAGATTGGTTCTCCAGTCGTTTTTTTTTTTTTTCTGTTAAAGTGATGTTTCAGTACTCTGGTCTATTTGTGAAATAGGCTAAGCAATGGTATTGGTCGTGTTTTCTAAAACTTGGGTCTTGCTTTCTCAAGTTTAAATGTAACAGGAAATACATCTTAATAATTTGGTGACACAGAAATTTAATCATTACAAGCAAGGCCTACAACTTAAAGCTTCTCGTAGAATATTCCGAATTACGCTAGGTATAATCTGGATAAACGCAGAACTGATTCTTGACCTCAAACATTCTATACGCATTCTTGGAGCGGTAATGGTGTGTAGGGATAAACGTCAGTAACGTTACATTTCTGTTCGTTTAGTTTGAATTTCGCGCAAAGCTACTCGAAGGCTATCTACGCTAGCCGTCCCTAATTTAACAGCGATAGACGAGAGGGAAGACAGCTAGTCTGCACCACCAACTCTTTGGCTACTCTTTTATCAACGAATAGTGGGATTGGTATTATAACGCCCCCACGACTGACAGGGCGAGCGTATTCGGTGACGGGGATTCGAACCTGCAACCCTCAGATTGCGAGAAAAGACAAGAAAAGAAAAGTCCTATAAGCGTGGAAAAAATTATTATTAAGTCTGGTATTAGGTTGAATCAACCATTGAGAATAAACCCAGAAGATAACAACATTTCATATGCCAAAATGTAGATAAGGAATGCATTATTTAAAGAAACCAGTCCACAAGTCAATGGAATTAATCATGGGAAGCCATGGGCCAGTAAAGATAACTGTTTACTCTGTACTCAGCAGGCCTGATAAAGATAACTGTTTACTCTGTGCTTAGCAGGCCTGATAAAGAGAACTGTTTACTTTGTGCACAATAGAATCGGTAAAGATAACTGTTTACTATGGGAACAGTAGGAACGGTAAAGATAACTATTTATTTTATGAACAGCAGGTCTGGTAAAGATAATTGTTTATTTTGTGAACAGCAGATCCGGTAAAGATAACAGTTTATTTTGTGAACAGCAGATCCGGTAAAGATAACAGTTTATTTTGTGAACAGTAGATCTGGTAAAGATAATTGTTTATTTTGTGAATAGGAAGTCCGGTAAAGATAACTGTTTATTTTGTGAATAGCAAGTCCGGTAAAGATAACTGTTTACTCATCATGTCCGGTAAAGATAATTGTTTATTTTGTGAACAGCAGATCCGGTAAAGACAACTGTTTACTCATCATGTCCGGTAAATATAACAATTTATTTTGTGAACAGCAGAACTAGTAAAGATAACTGTTTATTTTGTGAACAGTAGGACCAGTAAAGATAACTGTTTACTTTGTGCACAGCAGGACCAGTAAAGATAAGTGTTTATTTTGTGAACAACAGGACCAGTAAAGATAAGTGTTTATTTTGTGAACAGCAGGACCAGTAAAGATAACTGTATATTTTGTGCACAGCAGGACCAGTAAAGATAACTGTATATTTTGTGAACAACAGGACCAGTAAAGATAACTGTATATTTTGTTAATAACAGCACCAGTAAAGATAAGTGTTTATTTTGTGAACAGCAAGTCTGGTAAAGATAACTGTTTAATTTGTGCACAGTAGGACCATTAAAGAGAACTGTTTACTTTGTGCACAGCAGGACCAGTAAAGAGAAGTGTTTACTTTGTGCACAGCAGGAACCAGTAAAGATAACTGTATATTTTGTGAACAACAGGACCAGTAAAGATAACTGTATATTTTGTTAATAACAGCACCAGTAAAGATAAGTGTTTATTTTGCGAACAGCAGGACCAGTAAAGATAACTGTTTATCTTGTGCACAGCAGGACCAGTAAAGAGAACTGTTTACTTTGTGCACAGCAGGACCAGTAAAGATAAGTGTTTATTTTGTGAACAGCAGGACCAGTAAAGATAACTGTTTATCTTGTGCACAGCAGGACCAGTAAAGAGAACTGTTTACTTTGTGCACAGCAGGACCAGTAAAGAGAACTGTTTAATTTGTGCACAGCAGGACCAGTAAAGAGAACTGTTTACTCATCATGTCTGGTAAAGATAACTCTTTACTCAGCAAACTGACAACAGTGGGAAATAAATGGATCTGCAATTCACTCTCGTAATGAACTGTTTTTTGTCACATCAAATATATATATCTCAAGCTTACCTTCTTTGTTGTACTCCAATATAAATGTGGTTCAAAAGCTAGTGGAAAGTGAAAGATTGTACACGGAAAAGCCTCATATTGAGATGTTCGCGTAAGTTTTTCATTTCCACTACGTTTTTTTTACCTGTGATCTTCGTTTTATCTTGATCCCAGTTATAAAACTATTTTTTTGTATGGTGTTTCTCACACCTCTAAATTATGTTGGAGGTGAGTATCCGGGAGTAGGACTAGTGTCCTAGTTCGGACAGCAGGTGAGCATGTTTCGGTGTGACGGGGATTCGAACCCGCGACCCGCAGATTGCGAGTCGAGTGCCTTAATCACCTGGCCATGCCGGGTCGTAAAACTCTTAAAGCTCATTTAGGTAATTCTTACGCTTAATTATTGGTCGTCATACCCCTAGCACGCCCCCAGTGGCACAGTGGCATGTCTGCGGACTTACACTGCTAGAAACCGGGTTTCGATACTCGTGGTGGGGAGATCAGAGATAGCCAGCCCATAGTGTAGCTTTGTACTTAACTACAAACAAATAAACATATTCTTCCACCACAACTTGATATCTCCACGGAGCTATTTGAACTCCAAACATGAAAGAAATCCTTATAATCTTTTATTATACTACTAATTTCACTGGACATTGGAAAAGAATGAATGCAAAATATAGCAAGATCAACATGAATAATTTAGGTCATTTTTAGTTTCCTTTTTTTTTTGTACGATATGTTCTACAGTTTTAAATCAGTTTTTTGCCCTATAAGGTTATATTCTTACGGCATCCTGACTTAACAGAGTTTTTTAAAGGTTTTTTTTTTCACATTTCACATAACTGCCCAAGAGTTTGGGTTGATGATCTGCATCAAATAAACTTAAGAAAGAAATTATCATAAGAAAAGTAAAAAAAAAAATTAATAATAAAGGTGCGTGTTACGCGTTTGACTTTGTGGTCATAGTTCCTAAATTTTAGTCAAACTTAATTTTCTGGTGATGTGATTGGACGTCGTACTTGACATACTTCATACGCGAGACTTCCGTATTCCTACAACCAAGCAAGAATTCTGTTCACGCACAACGAGTACATCAACAGGTCAATAACACTGACCACATAAAATAAAATAACCTTTCGGTTGTATTGCAAAAGTTAATTTTTCAAACATCAGAGTCGTTTTTGTTGTTTTTTTTCTGTTTTCTGGGAAACCCTCAATGTTTCAAGTACTATTACTATCAGGCATTTACGAAATGGCGCTAATACGCTCTATTATAGAACAGCGATCATTTTCAAAAACAGAATGAAAAATAATAATTCTTTTATATAATTTAAAATCGACATGATTTGTTTCAAAGCTTGTAATATAAGGTACTCTTTTGGTAGTTAAATATATAGCGAGTGACCTTATACTATTTATTGATCAGGAGATGCAACTGAAGCGTCATCATTATTGCTTACATCCTATTGTCAGGTTGAAATGCAACGAATTTTTCTAATCCATAGCAACGAAAACGATCATCACAGGTCAATAATTATAACTTTAAAATAATACGTAATATATAACATCTGTTTGTTATCAAACCTGACGCACGTTAGAGGATAGGTAAAAATACAGATCATTGGCTGTTAATAGTAATCTAGCATCTGACACGATCGCAAATCTTTTAGACTGTCAGAAAATATTTGTCATTCAAGATTTCCATTACACATACTAATCTAATGCGCGTGTAGTGATTGAACAAAAAACAAATTCAGTCAACACTACAGTATGAATCTCCTAGTATATGTGTAGTGATTGGACAACAATAAGGATCATAGTACATGTGTAGTGACTGTACACCAATAAAGATCATATAGTATATGAGTAGTCACTGGATAAAGATACTGATAATCGAATATATGTGTAGTGACTTTACAACAATACTGATTATAGTATATGTGTAATGACTGGGCAACAATACTCATCATCTAATATATGTGTAGTGACTGGACAACAATAAAGATCATCTATTATATGTGTAGTGATTGGACAACAATACTGATCATCTAGTAAATATGTAGTGACTGGACAACAATACTGATCATCTTGTATATGTGTAATGATTGGACAACAATACTGGTCATCTAGTATATGTGTAGTGGCTGGGCAACAATACTCATCATGTAATATATGTGTAGTGACCGGACAACAATAAAGATCATCTAGTATATATGTAGTGAACGGACAACAATACTGATCATCTAACATATGTGTAGTGACTGAGCAACAATACTGATCATCTAACATATGTGTAGTGACCGGACAACAATAAAGATCATCTAACATATGTGTAGTGATTGGACAACAATAAAGATAATCTAACATATGTGTAGTG